GCCGCCGTGCGGGAGCGGCCGCTCGCCCCGGCCCCGCTGCCCGCACACGCATGCACAGAACACCCCGCGCTTCCCCGCCCCGAGAGGTACTCGGGAGCCGCGGGCACCCCCTGCCCCGCGCGGGCGGCGGGGGCGCGTTCGTTCTGCGCTGACATCCCCCCCAAACCATCGCCCTGACTGTTCAAAGGAAACTCCGGCCCCATCCTGTGGCATTAACCCCTAACTGAGCCGATAGGTATGGAAATAATCAACGGGATGTGAAAGGATTTTGTTCTGCGCTGTCTTCGGGTCTGAAATTCAGTAGTGGGGATGGGTTTAAGAACACCAAAGTGTGTGGTTTAAATAGTCCTGAGTGCACATTTGCTAAAGGACCAGGGGACAAGATCTAGAAAGAATAGGTACTGCAAGAAAAAATGAGTGAAATCATGCTCCCACTAGTGTCAGTGGCAAAAGTCTCACTGTTCAGTGGCACTAGGTTGTCACCCTAGCAAGCTGTTTCAAACTTCACATTTTCAAATTATATGAAATACGTTTACAGTCAGGCAGAAAGTAATTGCCTTTTCTAGTCTGTATTTTTTGCAGATTTATACCATAAGCCCTATCCAGTTACAACAAAAACCACACGGAACAGTGGAGACCTCTGTGTTGTAGAGTTTGTGTTTCTGTTTGATCTGACATGCTTCATGGAGAAAATAAATGCAAATCCCACATTGCACAAAGCTTATCTGAATATTCAGTAAAACATATTTTCAAATCAGGACAAAATAGACAAATTATTACTTTGCAAGTTTTTCGGCTTAGTGAATCAAGTTTTCGTGCCTTCAGACCACAGAGGGGGCAGGCAGGACATCCAAGACTCTGCTGCAATCTTCACAATTCATCCAGAGAGCATCAAACTCACGAGCAGACTGAGGCTGCCCCAGGAGGTATTTTCTCAGCCTTCGGAAAACACCAGCTATAAAAGAAAGCTGGATTTACCAAGACGTCAACCAGCAGCCAGCACAGGACAAAGTGCCCAGGTCTCCCAAACAACGTTTCCTAATAAGCAGGTATGTCCTGCATGAGCAGCTATTTCAGGATGGGTTTTGGCACCAGGCCCAGGAAAACTGCTTTACAGTGATCTACCTAGAGGTTCCCAGGTACCCACGAGAGGCTTGAAATCATGCAGATACTCAGTGGCCCAGGTAACATCCACATCGTTTTTGCTGTACTTGCTAATGTATACATTTGGGAGCACCCAACACTTGCATTCCTGGACAAAAGCACCCCAGGCTGCCGTCTGCGCAATCGATGGGAAGTACACTTCCTCCACTCTGCCGCTTGCTTAATTGCTAGTGTTGCTTCTCAAATCCTGTAATCATCATTTTGAACTTGCACAATCTCAGCCAAATGATTCTCATCCAGTCCTCCATCTCGCTCAGACAATGGACGCCCAATTAGTCTGCACTAAATATTTAGAGAAAATGAAGATACAGAACTGGCAAACTGAAATGCTCACCTCGGCTCTCTCCACACCAGCCTGGCTGGTTGCACAGCCAGGGAGTCACATAGCAGCAGGAGTGGGACCTTGTAAAACCTAACAGGAGTCCCACAGCAATATGACTCTGTGGAATCACCCATGGGGGCGTAGGACTGTTGGTTTCATCCACAGAACATGTACTATGTTTTTCACCCTTTGCAGATGTCATTTTCCAGCCAGCACCCACAGGAGAGCGATAAGGAGGGTGCAACTATGCGGAGAATATACACACCAAAAGTTCCTGGAAATTGATTCATTCTCTTAAACTTTTCTGTCTTTCAGCAGCTTAGAGCCTCTCTTTGGTGTCAATTGACATGGCTCAGCTATATCAGCACAATGGATACCTTACCAGGAATCACATCCTTCTTTCAAATAGATTAACAATCTGTTCTGTGTAATATGCGTACATTTTTCAGTAATACAAATATAAAAAGTGTTAAAATAATTACCTACCTGTAACAAATATTTTAAGTAACTTTATTAAAGACACTGAATCTAGCCATTTTTTCCCTAACTTCTTTCATAAGCTAGTAAAAATAAACGAGTACAAGCTGTTAAAAGGAAACTCATCATCTGGCATATTTAAAATACATTTTTTTCCCTCATTCTTTGCTATAAAGTTGTTAGGAAATGAAAAACAGTACCATCTAGTTTTTCGCAAAAGGGACAGTTTCTGAATAGTTCTAGGTTATGCACTGAACAGTTACTTTAGCATCACATACGAGTACTAAACAATCAATTTTTTCATTTTAGGTATTAAAATTTTGCTTTTTAGGATTTCTGTAAGATTTCTATATATATATGAGGCTGAAAATTAATAGGGAGGAAGAAATGTAACTAGATTACCCTTAGAAATAAGGCCTATTCCAAATAATTCAGGTCAGTAATGGAGGAAAGTGTGTAGCAGAGAAGGTCTAATAAATGATGGGAAGCCTATGATGACACAAGTGAAAACTCCATAGATGACTGTGCAGCTAAACATTTTTTGGAAGCAATTCCTGGGGTATACAGACTTCACAAGTAAAACACGGAGTGGGACCATGAGGTGGAATCACAAAGTCCTTCATCTGAGTTACCAACAGCAGAGAAAATAGAAGAGAAAGAGATGGAGCTAGGCCTCAGTATAAGCAGCAAAAGACCTGTTTGGTCTGTGGAACTAGGGAATAAATGGTATTAATTGTGTAATCAACACATTTTGAAAAGATAGATCTGATCATATCCATTATTAACGTCTTCGAATTTAACCCTGACATTTACATAATCTAGTTATTTTCATCAACTTGCTGCCACTCTGTGTTGTGAGTACACTCCAGCAGTTCTCCATCCACATCCTCCTGTTCACCCTGTCAGATAAGCCATGGTGCCTCACTTTGTCACTGGGTTGCTGTGCATCACTAGAGCGTGGTCATGCATCTCACTACAAAAGTGGACATCTTCCCGTATTGGATGAAATGACTTCATGGAAGTAGCCAATATTGAGGAAACACCCTTAAAAATGCCAAGTCACAGTCAAAGCTGAAAGCGATGTATGAAAACCACTCAAATTAGCCCCACAAACTCCATCAGAGGATTAATTTTTTAGGCATCCCTCTCTGTGAAAGACTGGAGCCGTGGTTTATGGTTCTCTAAAAGAACTTTTAGACTTACAAGGAATGTTAAGTCTTTAGGAAAGTCAATGAAAAGGGCGATGTCATCTGAATGCCCTGTTTGCATCATATTGTCTTTCAGACCAATCAATCTCTCGAGCAGAGCTGTCCCTAAGCAGCAGAAGGTTACACCCGAGTGGACATAGCACAAGTCTGGTTTTTAGTCTGAATGATTTACTGTTGTCATAAATGATGAGAAAACCATTTTTACAGCTTATGAATCCAATCATTACAGTTTTGCTTCTCTACCCGAGATTATGGGTAACACAGAGAATGTGTCTCTATCCCAGCTAATACAGAGGAAACAAATCACATATTTCTAATGTGCCAGAAATGGATAGGCCATTCGATAGCTGTAGATCCAATTCCTTCTGAATGTCAGTTTCTACTCTATCCCCCAAAATTTTGTAATCATTTACAAGAGCACTGGTACTAATTTCCTCTCAAGTTAAAGGGTCACGGCTGTGTGCTTGCTTACCTCATGTGTTTCAAGAACATAGTGATACTTCCGAGCAAAGGCATGCAATATATGATGTCAGAATAACACAGGATGACACATTTTAGGTCATCTGCTGCAGTCATTTGAATGTTAGAGCACACTGTCTCTTTACTATCCCTGTAGCAGTTCTCTTCTCAGAATGGGGATGAATGTTGCAAACAGGGGAAATATCACTTGTTCTCTTTAGGGACCAACCTGAAGAGTCCACTACACGGAAAGCTCCTGCACAAGTCTCTTGAACTGTCTCGTTCTGTTATGCTGTTGCAGCTTGTGATCCTTTATTAACATTTCCTTCCTTTTTGCATGGATGTAACTGAGATAGGAGTTTTCAGTTGACCAAAGCAAAATAGTGGCATCAGGACCAAAACAAGAGCCCATTGCTGAGAATAAGATACAATGTTTTAAAAATAAATTTGTACTAACCACTGGAAAGTGTCACAATCACTACTCCATGTGCTTTTTCTAAATAAGTGTAGTGCAAGAGCTTTAAAATGGTCAAAGAAAATACATCAGTGGAAACCTTTTCTTTGAAAAGGCAGCTCCTTCGAGAAGAATACCTTTTGAAATCATGTCAATTCTGTGAAAGTGTTTTAAGAATGGCATAAAAATGTTCTGGCAGCTTCAAAGTATACAATTTTTATTTTTTTTGGAGCAAAACATTTTAATTTCTAAGTCACTATGATTTCAATATAAATTAGCATAGCATTAGAATACAGTGTAGCATAAACGAAAAGGTGCCATCATTAAACATTTCAATCAGCTTCATTTTTCTTCCAGAAGTTTGGGGGATTTTTAAGGAATTTTCAAGGGTTTCAAGATTTTCCAGATTGAATTCCTAATTAGAACAAAGACAAATCTCAAAAATATTCATAAAAATGAAATTTTATCCTCTGCATAGCACATGTCCTCCCTCATGGCATGCTAAATTATGGTAAAATAGCATAGCATAGAATCATAGAATAATTTATGTTGGAAAAGAACTCTAGGATCAAGACCAATTGTTAATCTAGAACTGCCAAGTCCACCATAAATCATGTCCCTGAGTGCCCCATCTACATGCCTTTTAAATACCTCCAGGGGTGCTGACTCCACCACTTACCTGGGCATCTTGTTCCAGTGCTTGGCAACCCTTTAGGTGAAGCAATTTTTCCTGATATCCAATCTAAACCTCCCCTAGTGCAACCTGAGGCCATTTCCTCTTGTCTTATCACTTGTTACTTGGGTGAGGAGATTCACACTCACCTCTCTACAACTTTGTTTTGTGTAGTTGTAGAGAGAATTAGGGTACCCTCTGACTAGGGTACCTCTGGACTAAACAATCCCACATCCCTCAGCTGATTGTCGTGCAACTTGTGCTTCAGATCTTTCACCAGCTCTTTTGCCTTTCTCTGGACACGCTCCAGCATCTCCATGTCTTTCTTGTAGTGAGGGACCCAAAACTGGACACAGTACTCAAGGTGTGGCCTCACCAGTGCACCAGTACAGAGGGATAATTCACTGCCCTAGTCCTGCTGGCCACACTATTTCTGATACAAGCCAGGATTCAACATCATTTTCCAAGTACAACTGCTTAATAAGTGCCACCCACTTCAGAGTTGTGATTCTTTTAGATACACGTTCCAAGAATATGTATGATTTTGCAATGCTGTATCGCTGCACTATTATTAATATTCTTTCTACTGTATCACAATAGTCTTGTGTCCTCAATTAAGATGAATATTTGATTTGAATAGGAACTGCTCAAATATAGAGGGGGAAGCAGTTTGTCTTCTGCAAATTTTATGGTTCTGTCTCTGAAGAAATTCAAAGACTGTACAACACATAAAAAGGAGAGCAAGTGACTGAAGTCAGGGTTCAAATTAACAGGATCAAGCAGATACAAACCACAGAGTCATACCCTTCTTTCCAGGTTTCTCTTTCCTAAGAAATAGTTGTGAATTTGATTGATTTCCCCCAAATACATTTCTTAAGATGTAACTTAATCTTTTTCTTTTTTCTCTAGGGTTATTTATCCCATGCTGACACCTGTAATATCTCCCAAATTAGTGTTTGCTGCCAAATTCATTAGCATGCTGTTTACCAGTTCCTCTTAGGACTACTCCACTACAGTTGGAAAAGAAGATTCCTTAGGAAGAAAGGAAGAAAAAAAGAAAGGAAAAGCTAGAGCAGGGTGGAGGATGCTGCAGGAAATGGAGGCAGATGGAAGAATGAGGAAATTATGAATAGAAAAGTAGGGGTAGAAGAGATAATAAGAAAAAGAAAAAAAAGAAACAGCCAATCAGAAAAGGAACAGAAATGTCTGGCTCAGTTAACCTCTGAGAGGGTACTTAATTTCAAATATGAGAAGTCCACAGACCCAGGCCCATGCCTAAAATTAAACTTGTGTTTTATTCAGGCCAACATAACATTCAATTTTCTACACAAGGATTTAACGCACCAGAGGGAATCCATTGGAAACTTGGTGAGATTAGGGCACCTGCCTCCCACAAGTTTCTTGACAAATCTTGGATTTCAAGATGTAGTATTCAAATATAAAAGAAATTACGTCAGAGCTCTTTTAGTATTATTTCATATTCAGTGAAGGAACCTGACAGAATTAAATTTCTACTCAGCTATTTAGCACTGGGATAAGCATCAAGAAGAAGCAATTCTTTTCCTAAGGCCAGCTTGGTGACAATTCCTTGCAGTTCACCAGACATTTTCTTGGAAATAAAATCTGTATCATGGTGAGGCTTTTTGTACAGCTAGAGTCACCACCATTCCCAGGAACAGAAGAGAAGACTAAGCACTTAACATCCTCAGCTGATGTCACCTCTATGGCTCCATATGTCACCACAGCATCAGAACAGCCTCTTCTGGGTGCCAGGAAACGGGGGTAAAGAACAAGAGATGGATAACTCTGCAATATCCCCACTCAGTCCTGCTCTAGGACCTGAACCCACTTTGCATTGGAATGGAAAGCATAGGTCCTTCTTTGGTTGTTTTTTTCAGTAACTTGTCATGTCATCTGGCAGGTGGAGAATGCTGGAGGAGATTCAAAAACAGACGTGAGGACAGAAATCCAGGCTTGGAGAATCCAACATACGCAGGGCAGCATGGGCTGTAAGCATCTCACTGTGAAGGATGAGAAACTCCTTAAATGCTAACAGCTTCTATAAAGCTAATGGTTTAGTAGGGCTGGAAGAGAAGAGTGTGCTGGAAATTTTCTCAGATATGGTTATGTATATCCTGTTGGGAAATGGACAGGAGGGAGAAGAGACCCATTACTTTCTTCTTAGGTGTTTATTGTAATCAACGTGGAAGCAG